AGTCAATTGCCAAGTGTATTACTGCCTAAGTTTCTGATTATTTGCTATTTCTGTACGTCATAGTACAAGCAAATTGCACATGTTATAGAAGCTACACGTATTCAGGAAAATGTGCCAACTAATTTCGCCGACGAGCTGCGGTCGATCGGTCGGTATAGTTCGTTTGCGGACTAAAATCATGGAGTTTGTTTGTTTGTTTACTCACGATAATGCTACTAGTCTTTAGTTTGTTCTCATCTGTATTCTTGGATATGTCGCCGTGATTTTGTTTTCTGCAAATGAAAGTGAGCGAATTCATTGGTTATCGTATTGGGTTAGATTTCGTTGAAAATTACGCTTTTTCACGTTTATTACTGCTTTAATTCTGAATTTTCTAATTTTGGAGCATATTATTGTTTATTACTTTCGTTAGGGTGTACTGTGTATTCCTTCTCTGTGGGTGTTTATGTCTTATCTGTCACTAGTTACAAAGTAGACTGGCCGGTGTTTATGATGTATCTGTCCCTAGTTACAAAGTGGACTGGCCGGTGTTTATGATGTATCTGTCCCTCGTTACAATGTGGACTGGTTGGTGTTTATATCGTATCTGTCCCTAGTTACAAAGTGAACTGGCCGGCGTTTATGTCGTATCTGTCCCTAGTTACAATGTGGACTGGCTGGTGTTTATATCGTATCTGTATGGTGATTTGGGATTTGGCTGGGACAATCGTCTGTGAGGGTGTTGTGCCGAGCGATCCACCGAAGCCGGACGTAGCTCAAGTAGTGCTGACATTACGGACATCTAGCGGCTAAATATGGATACATATCTACACGCGTTTTTAAGTCAGAAGTCACTGGGGATCTCAGCGGTAAACAAGCTGACAAGCTGACAATATGCACCCTCTGTGTGTGTTAAAGGCGTGGTGCTTAGGCGCAGGGATACTTCAGCTCTATTCAGCTTTTCATACTTTGGACTATTCAGCAAGTACTATCAGAACGACGAATTCGAGAAAAATGAGATGGATGGAGCATGTAGCACGCATATGAGCGATGAGAGATGTATATAGGATTTTTATCCGAACGTCTGATGATTATGCTTTTAAGAACCAGGGCAGGTGGGAGGTAATTCTGAAAAGGGTCTTCAGAAAATAGGGCAGGATGGTGTGGAATGGATTCATCTGGCTTAGGGTAAGGCCCAGTGGCGGGCTTATGTGAACACTGAAATGAATTTCCTCAAGGCCACGAAGACTTGATTTGTGACCTCACACTACCCATAGTTCCCACTACAGCACTGTATCAACTACCCAAGTTACATGAGCTACCATTAGACGCTATGTAGTCTGAGCTACTGTCTGCCGTCGGCGTCTTTTATTATGCGACCAATATGCAGACGTCTGAAATGGTCAGTGTTCGTGAGGTCATGTAGATGCATGTACATGCGGCATGAACTCGTTTAGCAAGGTTAAGGCAAGCGGCTAGTTGCAGCGCTGTGCAATTCTCTCAGTTTCTTTGTCCCTGTCTGTCTTATTAGCCCCCACACACCCTTATTCTATGTGTGTGGGGTGGGTGGGAGGGGTTGCATGGAAAGTCACTTCTAGGCCGCTTAAGACGAATTTTGCTGATCACCCTAGTGTATTCAGGATAGAATATGAAGAAGAGTGCTGTCGTCTGGGTTGTAACTCACTGCAGTTCGGAGAGAGCCCGACGTTTCGGAGGAACATATCGTCTCGACAGGATGTCACGGCTGGAATGCGTCTAAGAAGTGAGCCCAGTTTGCCGTCTGTTTTTGCTGGTCTCTTCCTTGACAAGCCCTTCTACGCTTATGATGGAGGCGATATGCTCCTCCGAAACGTCGGTCCGTCTCCGAACTACGCTGCGTACAACCTACTAACCTAGAAGAACGTTTTAAAACAATTTTAATTGTTATGTTAATAGAAGAGTTTCGGACTGCCTTCCCCACCTTTTGGCAATCATAATTTGGAGCTTAATGTCAGTGACTTTGAAGATTGTTTTTCCTGGAGATGTTACGCCTTGTAGTCGGGAGAAGTTCGAAACATACCTGTCTACCAGACTAGACGGCATCACATCCCAGAAGACACTAATTTTCACCGCGAGTATGTTTTTTCCCTCAGAATATCCGTATTCGTGCAGGTAAAGGTAAAGTTGTCCTTGTGCTTAACTAAGTGAGCACTACGCCATGAAGACGTAGGGGGAGTGGATGTATAGAGCCATGCTTTCTTGACTTCGGTACTAGCTGGAGGTGAGCGTTCAGCTTCACGCCCCGGTCGCTTTTTCCCGGTAATAGTTGGATAGGAGACTGGGTGGATCTCAGAGCCGGCCTGGCCGCTGTGGCCCTGTCAGTCGCTATACCGGCTGCGCCATCCCGGCTCTCATACTGATGCCGAACGGACTAAAGTATTACATTCTTTAATAATTAGTTTTTAGAGAGAATGATAACGGAGTGGCGGCTTTATCGCAGTCGCGTGATTCAGAACGACGAATGACGTCAACAATCGAGCGAATATACGCTCGCAGGAAGTGTAGGAAGTCAGGCACCAATAGCACTGATCGAGACACCGACATCGGTGATTGCTGGGTATCGACATCTGGAGGCTAGTCGTCAACGTAACTTGTGAGTCGTGTATTGCCCTGCCATCTAGTGGGGCGACTGAGTCCTAAAACTGTTAATCGATTGGAAATACAGGAGGCTTGTTTACCTTTGTTTTCGGCCAGAAGTTTTTGGAGCGGTGGCTGTGAACAATATTCTTCTGGAACCTAACGCCGTGTAGTCTCATCGAGGTTTACCGACGTTTCTCAGAAATAGACTGCCTCCATCTTGCTTGACTTCTTCGAATTTGGAGCTGGAACAAGTAGGTTCCTCCGAAACGTAGATCAACATCTGGGAGACTGCACGGTGTCATTTCAGGAAGACAGTACTACTCGTCATAAGCCCAATTTTCTCTAAATGTTTTCGTGGGGCTAGCATAAATTATAAACATTAATTGTCTATTATTCATGTTTGCGTAGGCCTAAGCACACAGTGCCTAATAACTGAATGTCAGTTTCAGTACACAGTGTAGGCTGAACTTGTGTCTGAGAACTAGGCTTCACAGTCATACCAAATTTTTCGCCTTGTTACGTATCGCCTGGAACTGGAAGATAATACAGTCATTTCCTGATTTACCCTAAAGGCACGTTCCTCGGAAACACAGAGTAAATGAAAAATGCGAAAATAAA